GGCAACCTTTCGTTCCATATAAATCATAAATGATAAATTAACGTCTGTGATTAAAAATAATAATCTCTTTTGACAAGTAGTAGATCGAGAGCATCAAAGTACAGAAACATGCCTTTTGACCTCAGAATGCATTAATTGACTCTCGCCCCGTATATTAATCCCACACTAGGTGAGGATCACTTGGTATATATTTTGTCTAATGTGAATAAGTGAGAACAACTTTGGTGGTTGTACGCTTACGAGGCGGAGGTTGAAGATTCTAAGTTTAGCAGGGAGTTTGTTGGTGAGATTGCACGGTGGATTTAGAGAACCATGATGATGATGTAAACTTGTATGGATGAAAATATGCATCACAAACTGTGGCTTGAAACGGTGCACGTAGATCATGTCTGAAGGAACTCGAAGCACGTGTTTCATGTACAAAAGTAACAGCATTATCGCAAGACATTTTCAGGGTGATAAGTTTTAGAGGATTCGGATCCTCTCCTATCTAAAAGGTAGTGGAGGGACCATTACATAATCATAACAATTGATTATCTAGTTGGTGGTTGTGATTTTTTCTTTGAGTGCAACTTAGGAATGAGTGCAATACACAAGAGTATGGTTCAATTTTTTCTCACGAGTGTCTAAGAATTTAGGGATACTTTTTGGTGAAAGTAAAATTTAGCAAACTTAATTTTCTATTTCCTCGGAAAAAAATTAAAATCATAATAAATACCTCACTGTTGCAAGGGGGGTGTTTGGCAATTTGAAAGTGAATTTAAAATATGTAAGTCACTTTTTTTTTTGCAAATGACTTTTGCATCCATGTCAACACGCAAGTGAAATAAAGTGTTTGTTTAAAAATTTAAATTATTATCAAAAGTGCAATGTGAAGATGACGTGGCAAAATAAGATTAATTAGAAAGTATAATTAAAATAATTTACTTAAATTAGTTACATTTTTGTCACTTTCATGTGACTTCACCATTTTTTTAGGGAAAGTCAAAATTGTATTAAATCATATGTGACAACTTTCTTACATCTCACTTTCATAACCACTTACATGAAAACAAACACCTTAATTGTTAAATGAAATTAACTTTCTCACTTTCATCTTTCACTTGTATGCAAACAAACACCCCCTAAAGGTCAGAGACAGTCAAACACTCCCTACAATCTTTTTGTTAGTTAGTAAGAAAAGCCTACTAGGGTTTGGGGATTAAAGTAAAATACGCATTAGTGGGCTCACGTAGCCCTGTACCAGTCCTCCTTGTAATGGGCTGTCACATAGATTATCTCCTCCCTCCTGTTGGTTGATCTACGCGTACGTACACGTGCCCTGATAAAAGCTATTTAAGAATGTTAAATGTTAATTCTTGAAAGAGATATAGAGGTGATTTTGGGAGAAAACTACCAAAAAGCTAACATTTTTGACAGCTTTCCACCCTTTTACCTATCTAAAAAATCAATCCAAACAGCCCTTTCCATCAGTAGTCCATCACTAGTAATCCAACCAAGTGCTGGCGAGAAAGAACGTGACCCTGTGACCCCATAACACAGTACCCTCTCTCCCCTTTCTTCCCCATTTTTCAAAATTTTACACCATCACCCTTGTTCTCTTTTTCCCTCTCCTCTCCACTCATTTAATTCTCCTGATATTTCCCCCTCATTTATTGATTACTAGTTAGATTACACGTGCAATGCACGTGGTAATTTTTTTATTATTTATTATATATTTATAATTTTATTTAGGGAAATATTTGTTATTAAATTATTGAATGTAAGCAATGGATCAAACATATAGATTTATAATTTTATTTAGGGAAATATTTGTTATTAAATTATTGAATGTAAGCAATGGATCAAACATATAGACATAAGCTAAAAATTCAACATTTATTTGTTATTAAATTATTGAATGTAAGCAATGGATCAAACATATAGACATAAGCTAAAAATTCAACATTTAAACAATAAAATTACATTTAGTGATTGATTGGGTGATAGTACACCGGTTGCATCTAAAACGTGATCGATCAATCAAATATTATCATAAGAATATACGTAAAAGTAATGTTTGGCGATGTGGATGTAAATCCAAGCTCATGACATCAGAAGTTTGACTAAGCCTTTGCAATACCTAATGTGTGAGTACATATATTCACACATGAAAATTTCAAAATCCCATATAAAATCCAAAACAATCATTAAACTTTGTCATTCCCTTTAAATATCATCTGCTATCTTTAGCATTATTTGCATTAAACTGCCCCATTTTATGCTGAAGATCCACAAGAGAATCACTTATTACCTTTGCCTTTGAACTCTTTTTTAAGTCAACAAACTTTAAGGGTATTTTTTTTAAACTTTTAAATTTATAGATTTTCAAAGTCCCATTGTATCTTTGTTTTTTTTTTTGCTGGACCTTTATTCTGATTGGTGAGCGGATCCTCTTGATTCAAATGCTAACCAGAGTTGCATACTTTCTTTTGAGTGTCATTGACTTCGAAAATATCTTCAGCTTGTTCACACAACCACTACCTACACCCAAATTAAGTGGACATTATTAGAATATATTGCTTTCCAACAAATAAATGTTTAGGTTCAATATCTTTCATTTTTTTAATTAAGTAGAAATCCTGGTTTGATTTATTTATCAGTTAAAATGTTTTAATCAAGTGGGATGAGTGTACTCAAGTCTGTTTTTGTATCCCAATTAGAAAAAGTGGAATTGGCGAGCTCAAGTTTGTTTTTTATATCCCAACTAAAACAATGGAATCACAATTTTCCTACAGGGCAATGAGCTTTGACTTGATCTTATTCATTAAAACTTTCCATTCATAAATAAACTTATCCTTCCATAAAAATACCTATTATACCAATAAACATGTTCATCAATTATTATAACAAATTTTGAACTAATTTAAAGTTCATGACAAAGTTCTAATAAAGAAAAGATAGGGATCAAGTACTAAATGAACATTTTTTACTTCTTTGTTTTATTTCTTATCTTATAACTTTTTTTTTCTTATAACTTTAATGATATGTGAGGGCAATCTCTCACTTGGGACTTTCTTGGCATCTTGAGTTTTCCTACCCTTGCATTTCACAACACCTGAGGTTAAGAATGTACGTTAGCGTCATAATGCAAGTAACTTGTTCAAAAAGAAAAGGCTCAAATAATATCATAATGATGTGCTCTATCATGTTGTATTTCAAGATAATATTGGATATACTACACATTTGCCATTGGCAATAACTGAAGATAGGTATTACTTAGTCCAGGAATATTTGATCTCTAGAACCATGTTGATGGATATCGGACTTAGAAGTTGAAGGTAAAACTTTCGCGTCAGATGTCCATATAGTGTGTTTGTGATTCTTTAGCATGCAATGAAAGTAGATAAAAGAGACTCTTTACCACAGCAAGGCTTTCCATGCAATGTCTCAGCTTTCTTTGTATGAAACCTCTAGTACACTGTGAATCTTAACTCCTAATTTTGAGATCAGATGAGAAAATAAGACTGTATTTCACATAAACTATGACCAATTTCACAAGAATATTTTTGAACTGTACTTGAATCTGTAATTGTGCATTATCAAATATGACATCCAAATAGTTGTATTTCCCTCAAAATGGGCATTTAGAAATCTTGGACTGACAATAGACTCCATTAAACATAATATGCAGGCAAGTAACTGTTCACATGCAAATGAGGTATAAATTTCTACAATGCTAAGTGAAAAAACAACCTGATAATAAACCTCTAGGTCGTTATATTGACTCAACTACATATGTGTTCAAGCAAATATTATCCAATGATCTCGTTTCATAAAATATGTTTTCTAGTCGCGATGTTTAGTAATTTAATAATAATTTTTATACAATAAAGCCATAGAAGCATAAAGAACAGGTAAAGTTTACTGAGATACAAATATACTTAAGAATGTGAATATTCAAAATACAAAACATACCTCCATCATGATTCCCCTCAAACTTTCAGAGGTAGAAGGAACACACTTTCCAACTCTCAATCGGAAATCACCAAGTTGATATTGAAAACCCTAAAAAATATAGCAGAAAATCATAAAAATAAAGGAAGAGTTATATTCAAATTTCTTCCATGAATTAGAAGGATGGTATACTTACAAACTACATAAACCAAAGGAAGAGTTATATTCAAATTTCTTCCATGAATTAGAAGGATGGTATACTTACAAACTACATAAACCATATTAAATCAGAACTTATCTATAAAATCAACACAAAACAAAAATGAAAAAAAAACATAAAAAAACCATAATATACCTCCAAATCAAAAGACCAGTTTCCCCAACATTAAAAATAAACAAACTCATGAATCTCATATTAAACTAAAACTAATGCACACCAAAATGAGACCTTGTAAAAAAAAAGGTTTAAGAAAAAAATCAAAACATAATACAACAACAAGAATAATAAAGCCTTTATCCCAGATTTGGGGTCAAGCATCATGAATCTATTCTTTTCTTTTATTCAATTCTATTATGCCTTTATCCTCTACTAAATGACATATAATCATTTCCTACTTAATTGCTTCAACCAAGTTCAATTAAGTCCACCTGCAACCTCTTTTGCCCATTGACGATAATCATATCAGTTCTCCTCACTGGGTGCCTTTAGTTGTCACCGTTATACATGATCAAACCATTTCATTTGATTCTCTCATTTTATCCTGATGAAAGCAACCTCTAATCTCCTACAAATTCATTCATTTTATATCCTATCTTCAAGAGTATATCCACAAGACCATAATAACATTCTCAATTATGCTACATCCATATTTTGCACATATTGTTTTTACTTTCCCAGCATTTTTGCGCATGTTGTTCTCTGAAACACAGTCCAATTCCAACAAAAAACCCATCTCTCTCGCACGACAATCAATCCCAAATCAACCACAAGATCATAACTTGTCAACAAAACCAACACTAAATATCAAATTTAAAATAAAGAAACAAGAAAAATACCTCAAAAAAATTGAGCACAATCCGAGCTTTATAAGACTGAAACTTCTCCATAATAACTTGAATCGACAAATTCGCTTCAAGAACAATCCTATGAGCCCTTAATATGAAATAGAACTTGTTCAGCTAGTCTTTCCTAATGACTCCAAGCTCCACAGTGATTTGCATTGTAGCGGGAGAAATCTATGAAACAAACAACTTGGAAATTATCAACGAAACCACCCAGATGAATATATATTGTCCCTAGTAACATCCCAGCAGGTCGTTTGGCAAAGCTCAAATAATCAATCAAGCAATCAAAGAAAATAAACCAGAAAAGTGAATTAGAAATAGCATATGATAATACATATATCTCATAAGCAAACCTAAAATGGCTATATAATATCTATCCACACATACTTTACTGTGAATATAGTGTGAATAAGAAATCAAAGGGAACATTTGCCCCTTAAGTAGAATATCTACTTGAACTATTTCATGTCAATACAATTTGTTGAGTTGACACACAAACAACTACGGTAAGATAATAACTTGGAATGACAATTAACTGACAAGTATGTACAAACACAAGCATGTTTGCATAGCAGCACATTTGCATCACAGCATAACATAATATGCATGAAATTAATGTGGTCTCAATAAGCAAAAAAACTTTTCCATATGTGGACAATCTAATTGGAAAAAGAAAATCTCGTTCAGTTCAATATGATAGATTTAAAATGATATGCAAATGATCATTACTAAGGAAGAGGCGTTGTTATGATAAATCAGTTATATTAGCATGGATGAAAAAAATTAGCAATAAATATGGCACATACTTGCTCAAGAGTTTTTTTATGATACCGATTATGAGATACACCTTGCGCAAGCAGCTTCTTCACCCTACCACCTGTATAAAGTTTAGACAGGCACCCATGCGCTTTAGCAATAAGACCTGTCCTCAAGGAACATAAACTAAACTGTGCCATTGCCCTGTTAAATAGAAACTAAGAGGATATGTCCATGAGTTGAATCTCTTCTTACAAATGACTCATCAACAAAAGGTCGCATGCAGTTGAGAACTCATCAAAGATAGCATGATGATATATGTCACAAAGCATTGCTCTTGCCTTGGTTCTCTCATCCCCATACCTATAGATAAGAGGCACATGAAATCCTAGGTCATATGTATAGGCTGTATTTTGCTAATGTTTGTTGTCAAAATAACATACTTGTAAATGATGTGCCAGCCTTATGTTTTTTTGGATACAAACTTTTCTGTGGCTGAGGTCCTTCAAAACATCCTCTATGGCATCTTCCCGTTTTTCATCAAGTGCCTATTTCTTAAAGAGTATAATAACACACATCAATTCAGAAGGAACACAAGGAACATTATCAAAATATAAGAAGATATATTCTTGATAAAGCACACAAATCATTCGTAAATCAAATAGCCGCCTCTCTAACACATGTTTTTCCTTCAAAAGCTGTAGCTCCTAGAATTAATAACAAAAGAAGAAGTTGAAGACCAATATTCTCCAATTATATGTATATAAGTGGAAAATTCTGAGTTCATGTCAAATCCATACTTGTTCACATGCATCAACAATTTGTTCACGAAGCATCATAATTTCCTCTTCTTGTAACTGTGACCTCGTTTGAAGTTCCTATCCAATAACTTGAAGAGACAAATTAACAACCCCAAACAAGAACAGTATCCAAAAAAGGGTTAATTGCACTTAACACCCTAAAGCTCCGTTGATTTTCAAATTCAATGAGTGTTAAAAAAAAAATCAAAATTAGGATATTAAAATTGCAACTAACTAAAAAAAGCCAAAATTTTTAATAACAATTACCGTGAGCTCTGGATCTATCGACAAATTATTCTCTTTAATTTTGGCTTTTCTATCAGATTCCCTTTGCAAATGATGCCTACCAAGCAATAAACACTTCAATCGAACAAATAAAACACAAAACCTCAACAATTAGCAACAAACAAAGCCTAATTTGAGTCTAACCTGATCGATGAATTCAAGCTAGGGTTCCAAAATCCAGCATCGCCGTTTTCGACCGTGAATACAGTCCCCGGTTGCATCGCCGCCATTGCCGGAGGCGCAAATTTTCCAGAGGAGTGGCGGCTCGATTGGACAAGATTCGATTGAGTATCAAAAGAATCGTGCATTTTCGAATAAACACAAGGTTTCTTGAAATAGAAAGACATAATTTTGATTCTGATGACGAAATTGGAGAGAAAGGAGAGCGATGCTTTGTGCAATTTGTTAAGGAAGAGAAGGTTTGTGGATGATGAGGATAATAATAAGCTTCTTGATGCCGATAATAATCATCTTTGCAATTTGATAACCGACAATCGATAAGGCAGAGAGAGTTGGACTGGGTTGTCGTTCCATTTACCTTTGTTAAGTTGATTCCGTGTAATGGGGAAAAAAGGGATAACTTTGTTATATTTATAATAGTTGAAGGATAATTCGTTATCCCCTTTTACTTTCTCGATAATCCTGCTTCCTTCCTCCCTCCCTCGATTTGGACTCCGATTCCGATTTTACCATTCCGTCCCGTCTTTCTCGTCCCTTAAATTAATTGTCGCCAGAATCGGGGGGGTTCGGATTTCTTGTCTTTGGTATTTCCCCCCTCTTTTCTTTTTCTTTTTCTTTTTCTTTTTTCTTCCGCCCCGTAAAACCTAATTTACAAGAATTTGTGGTGATATAATAATAATAACAACAATTGTGATAGAGAAAGATCAGAAACCTCACTGATGTCATGTGTGCAATTTGCTTCTTTTTTTTTTCTTTTGCAACAGGAAGTTGGAAAGCCTTGAGGTACCGATTCTGTCCATTTGCGTTTATTAACATCGTCTTCTATATATATTAATTAATTTAAAAAACAAATAAATTTATGTTGCAAGATGCAAGCCTGCCTAATAAATTAATGTTAAACCAATCAAAATATTATTTTAAAACAAAATTATAGTAAGTTTGACATGAAGTTTAAAAAAATTAAGGTAATAATGTTCTAAAATTAGAATGTGAGTAACCGATGAGAACTTTAGGGGAAACTCTAGCGTTTGTGTAACTAAGAATATTTAAGTGTAAATTTTTAAAAATTTTAGATTATAGAACCATAGCAACAACATATAAGGATATATAAGTGCAAATTAAAGGTATTTAAAGTACAAATAAGCCTAAATTTGTTCCAACTTTTTTAGTGCACAGGATACCAGGATGATACAGTGCCAATTTAAAACTGAGTAATTACTTTTAGACCAAAAGATGGGACCACTCTTTGGAGCTGATGATTTGGATATCTTATCACATATTTCACTTCCCATATAGGGTCATTTACTAAAGAGAGACGCTACAGTCACACCCTAAACCATACCCCCAACCACACTCCTCTCTCTCTCGCTATAGTGCACTGCGGCCCACATGGGAATTTTTTTTTAAATTCTCATGTGGGCCCAGTGCACTGTAGCGAGAGAGGTGTGTGGTTGGAGGTGTGGTTCAAGGGTGTGGCTCTAGCATTTTTCTTTACAGAATAGTAAGAAGAATAGTGTGAAAGAAATCTATCTGTTAAGATATTTCTTAATATTGTAATTATTTGATCATTTGAAAGATAGTGCCATTAGATACTATTATATCACTAGCTCATTGTTATGTGTTGATGATACGAAGATATCCTTGATGATATCTTTTCAGTTAGTTGGTTAATTATTAGATAAGAGATATGTTGATGATACGAAGATATCCTTGATGATATCTTTTCAGTTAGTTGGTTAATTATTAGATAAGAGATATATGTAGTTAAGATAAGTGGTTAGTTTGTTATTTGAGTAGTATAAGATGTAATCCTCTGTTTTACTTTCGGTAATCAATAAGATTTTTCTCAGTTCCTATATGGTATCAGAGCGGGTTATTGATCCGTGAGAGAAACTCCCATAGCCGCCACTTTTGTTTTTCTTCTTCCTAGATCCACAGCCACCATTCTTCTCCTTCCTAAACCCAACAAAAAAAAAAGAAGACTTTTTTTTTCTCTTGCCGAAATCATGACGGAGAGAAACACAGCCAACAAAAAAGGTTTGGATATGTCTTCTCCATTTTTTTTGCATCCTTCAGATAACCCGGGAGCGGTGATCACCACGTGCATTCTGAATGGAGAAAACTATGATATGTGGGTGAAGGCGATGAAGAATGCACTTAGAGCAAAGAACAAATTGGGTTTTATCGATGGCACACTAGAGAAGCCGGCACCGGATACACCGGAGGCGAATAGTTGGTCCTCTTGCAACTCGATGTTGATTTCTTGGGAGAAGCCGGCACCGGATACACCGGAGGCGAATAGTTGGTCCTCTTGCAACTCGATGTTGATTTCTTGGATTTTCAACTCTATCGAAAAATCCATTCAGCCGAGTATAGCCTACGAGGAGACAGCTAAAGCTATTTGGGAAGATCTACGTGATCGTTTTTCAATTGGGAATGCACCTCGGATTCATGAGTTGAAAGGTCAGATTGCATCAACTAGGCAAAATGGGATGACAGTGATGGCGTACTACACGCAATTGAAGAGCATGTGGGATGAACTCTATAGCTATTCTAAGGTGCCAAACTGTACTTGTGGAGCAGCACATGATTTTCTTCGTGAGCACGAAGAAGAGAAACTGCATCAATTTCTCATGGGACTTGATGACGCCATTTTCGGTACGGTGCGATCTCAAATACTCAACATGGAGCCTTTACCTCCTCTCAACAAAGCCTATGCTATGATTAGTAAAGAAGAAAGACATCGATCGATTGTGCGAGGACAAGAGGAGCGTCCAGAGGTGATGGCAATGACAGTTAACGCAACGGCTAAGGGTAGAGGAGCTGGACAATCTTGGACAAAACAGCGAAGTGCTGTGGAGAGAAGATGTTCACATTGCCACAAGTTGGGGCACGACGTCGCGGATTGCTTTGAACTACAAGGCTATCCGACTTGGTACAAAGGCAAGAGAGGACGTGAGCGCATCGACAAGATCAGAGGGCGCGGTCAGGCTTTTGCCGCGACAACAGTGGGACAGGACAAAGAAAATAGTAGTGCAGGCAATCAGGTTTTGTCAACGGAGCAATTTCAGAAACTATTAAACATATTGGATCGCTCTGGTGATAATGCCGAAAAGCTTTCCGGTAAGGATTCTAAACCACCTACTTGGATACTTGATAGTGGGGCTTCGAACCACATGACTGGTAAGAAGGAGCTCCTGAGTGATCTCAAAAATACAATTCCGATACCCATTTACTTACCTAATGGGTCGAGAACGATGGAAACGATGGTAGGTCGTGTTATTTTGAGTTCAAAAATGGTGTTGACTGATGTTCTATATGTGCCACATTTGACTTGCAATTTGATATCAATTCCTCAGTTGATTTCTGTCTTAAATTGTCAAATAACATTTACTAATGAGCTTTGTGTAATACAGGACCGTACCTCGAGGACGCTGATTGGAGCGGGTGAGCTTTCGAGGGGGGTTTATTGGTACAAAGCTATACAGACGCATTCAGCAATGAAAGTAAAGCGAGATGACTCACACTTAGTTTGACATCAACGACTGGGACATCAAAATAGTCGGCATCTATCTTTTATCTCGGATATTGGTCATTTTGATTCTATAAATAAGCTTGTCTATGATGTTTGCTATAGAGCTAAACAGACACGATCTCCTTTCCCTTTGAGTAAGAGTAATGCTACTACTTGTTTTGAATTAGTTCATTGTGATTTATGGGGACCATATTCAAAACCTGCTTCATGCGGTGCATTCTATTTCCTCACTTTGGTTGATGATTATAGTAGAGGAGTTTGGGTTTATTTAATGAAAGAAAAGAGTGAAGCTAAAAAATTTCTTATGCTATTTTGTAAATTCATCAAGACACAATTCGATAAATCTGTGAAGCGAATTCGAAGTGATAATGGTCTTGAATTTGAGGGGCCTATGCGAACCTTTTATGAGGAAAATGGAATAGTGCATGAAACTAGTTGTACATATACACCCCAACAAAATGGAAGAGTCGAACGGAAACATAGGAATATCCTCGAAGTAGCTAGAGCTCTCCGTTTTCAAGCCTCTTTACCTATTAAATTTTGGGGAGAATGTGTTTTAACTGCAGTTTATCTCATTAATCGTACACCCACTGTTAAACTTGATAAGAGGTCGCCTTATGAAATTCTATTTGACAAGAAACCTACATATGATCATATCAAGGTGTTTGGATGTCTATGTTATGCACATAATAATCCTAGGCAAAAGGATAAATTTGGTTCAAGAAGTAGGAGATGTATTTTTGTAGGCTATCCACATGGCAAAAAGGGTTGGCGACTTTATGATTTGGAGAAAAATGAGTTTTTCTACTCAAGAGATGTATCTTTTCATGAAGATATTTTTCCATTTGCACATAGTGATAAAGGGCTTAAGTCTCATGCTCGTAATGATCCTGTGTATGGGTTGTATGATGATTTTGGTTGCGGAGCTATGGCAGCCACAACGAGTGAACTTGTATGGTTGAAGTCCTTGTTGACTTCATTTTTGGTGGATCACGGACAACCGATGGAGTTATTTTGTGATAATCAGTCGGCCATTCACATAGCGACCAATCCAGTTTTTCATGAGCGAACGAAGCATATTGAGATAGACTGTCATTTTATTCGAGAACAAGTGCAGACTAGAAACATCGTTATGAGACACATTCGTTCACAGTTTTAGCCAGCGGATATTTTCACGAAGGCACTTGCTAAACCACAGTTTCATTTCTTATTAAGCAAGTTGGGTATTCACGATGTGTATGCGCCAACTTGAGGGGGAGTGTTGATGATACGAAGATATCCTTGATGATATCTTTTCAGTTAGTTGGTTAATTATTAGATAAGAGATATATGTAGTTAAGATAAGTGGTTAGTTTGTTATTTGAGTAGTATAAGATGTAATCCTCTGTTTTACTTTCGGTGATCAATAAGATTCTTTCTCAGTTCCTATATATTTTTCTCGAGTTTGTGGAAGAAGTTCTCGTGGTAAGGCTTCTTTGTTTTCGCCGCTGCGTCACACACGTCTGTTTCATATTGAAAATATTAAAAAATGAGTAATTAACTTAAAAATAAAGTTAGGTTAAACTTAAAATTTTGAATAAATATTTTGTTTTTCGACCTTTGTTTAAGGATCATGTACACTTCTAGATCGACATTGTTACTCTCCACTCAGCATGGTCATTATTTTATTATTTTAATTCAATTGAAATTAAGATTGGGAAAAAAAAATCAAAATTCTTAAATTTTACAATTGAAGATAATGTGAGGAATAACATTTTGTTTGTCCCCCTCTTCTTCTTCTTCGTCGAATCTTCTACCCCTTCTAGAGAAAACATGTATCCATGTATCAATGAGATCTTATATCCACATGATATTAGAAGCATGCATGCTTATTGACCAGTTGCGTGCATGAATAATCAACACAATATGCAAGTACACAAGTTTAGATGCCTAATTTATGTCAACAGTATACTACTACTGAAGGCCGTGTATTTGGACTATTGATGAACTTCTATCGCTATAATTGAGATTTTCTTGTTACATTTGTAGACTCGTTGAGTATCAAATCATCATCAATTACAAATTTTAAAAATA